GGACAGTGGGAAAGGAAATCAAAAAATAAGATCGAATGGCGTTTAACTCTCTCGTCCCTAACTTCAATCCGATGAAGAAAAAGGACAATTATTATTATTATTATATCAACCTACTTTGACAAGTACAAAAATGCACTCACTACTTTTTAGGACTTTTCAAATTATTATTGCTATGGAAATAAATGTTTACAAAAGTAAATATAGACTCTGATAGCCCGTGAAATTCTCTATCATTCTATGTATCTATGTCTTCCCTTGCATTTATCGGCCAAAGAATAATTCGAATATTATTTAGGCACCCTAGTTTGCAAACCTAAATAACCAGACTGTTTACTATCTCTTTGGTTTTTATTTTAGATTTATTATCACTGTAGAAATAACTTTTTCCACACGCAGTTATATGTTCTGATAGCGCTTGAAATTCTCTATTATCCTGAACTTTTGAACTTAAAAATGAAAGAGATAGTAAAAAAGTGCAGTTTGTTAGTTTTTTAAGGAGGGTGTCTAAATAATATCGAAATTCTTCTTTGACAGATAAGTGCAAAACAAACATCTTGCTGTACGTTTTAAAGCAAAACAAATTTCTCACCACTTTTGTGTCAAATTTGCAATTTTTTGTTGCTGAGTCAGATTCCTATTCAGACTGCCTTGTTGAACAGTGACTTCTACTGCTTTAAATTAGTGACAGTTGAACTGGGAGACAACGAAATGCGATATAAGACTAATTTTTTTTGAAAAATGTAGCGACTAACTGAATCAACAACATACAAAGTAAGTTTAAAATTCATTCAGTAGAAATTGTTTCATGAGGGGAAAAGAAGCGCTTCCATTAATAAGCGCTAATTACAGTTACAACCTACGGAAAATAACTTCCAAAACTAATAATGTTTATTTTCATTCACCTTTTATCTAGCGCACTATTACTATGTCTACAGGATTTGATCGATATCCACGCTCATCTGAGCCTACGAAAAATCGTAGTCACAGGATAATCAACAGCCTCGCATAAATGGTATTGTGTAGTTTTTATTGTTGAAAATACGCGAAAGTAAATAGCTGGAAAAGAATGACGAAGTCGATCGTTAGTTACGAAATATGAAGTAATGTTGTTGTTATGAATCCATAACTTGTTTGATTTGTTTCATTTTTCGTTTGGTGTTTTGTGTTTTTCGATTTATACCTGCATTTGCCCGATCTACAGGTGCTCTTGCTCTGTTTTTAACATATCGAACATCTTGTTTTCCTTCATTGATTTTTCTGTTGGTTTTATCTCTCACAGCTTGACGTATTTCACCCTGTGCTTCACAACGATAGTTTACTAATAACAATGATATTAATAGAGAACATAGTATAATACGTGATGCTAACATCTTTTGTATGATGTTTAAATAATAACTGTCTTTTTGTTTTAATAAGTGGATATTCACAACAAGTAGAGCCTGCACTGCATATAAAGGTAACAAGATAGATAAGAATGAAATTGATAGTAAATGCTATTACACTTAGAAAAAAGAAGAATAGCTATTTACTATTATCTTTTTCATTAAAACTTAATAATAGAATGATATCTAATAATAGTGGATTCTTCTTTTTCTAAATGTAATTGTACGTACTATCAATTTCATTCTTATCTGTTTTGTTACCTTTATATGCAGTGCAGGCTGTACTTGTTGTGAATATCAAAGAAACGATAAGGGTCTAAGGCTTCTGATAGATTCCTTGAGTGATGAAATATTAGCACTCAATGAGAATATTTCGAAGAAACCGCATAGCAGAGTTCGACTCGATCGGCAAATCGGTATCCGGCTTTGCTTCTTTTCGAATCACTTTTTTAACAAAAAGAGAAAGAAATTTGTTTTATTATAGTAGGAATGATTATTTTGAGATTTTGTTACTGAGCAAAGTAACTTAAGAAAAAAACTCAAGTGATTTTCTTTTTCTTTCGTAAATTTCAAACGTATAAACAAAACAGACTTCTACTTCCACTTACGAACGCCTGTAATTTCAAGAAGAGTTTCAAGGAGTTTCGCGCTATGCATTCAACGAGTAATGAGCCACATACGTGTGTTTATGAACACATAGTAATTAGTTACGATTTATTCATTTTTCTTTATTTTCTGCTTTGTCCACAAAATAGTATAAAGAAATATATTGGTCAGAACTATTATCATTTTTGTCTGGATTGTCCCATGACAAAATTTAAAACAAAAAGACGCGTTGAAACGCGTTTTATTTTAATCGAACATGTTTTCACTCGACTTTTTGCGCGTTTTTATAACGCGTTCAGGCGCGTTTTTTTCTAATGAAAACGCTAAAAGCAGTTTTAAAAACGCGCCACTTTTACGCGAATTTTACGTTGGCTTAGGCCAATATTACATTGGGCTGAATTTCACTTTGGACGATATATACCTATGCATAGATATGCATACAAACGACTATACAACTTAGCACCGTGATAAAGTAGAGAAAGAAAATAACTTGTACTTACATGACTTTAAAAACATTGGGTTGCGATCCGAAATGTTTTATTTCATACTCACTCTCATGCTGCAAGGATTCAATTCTGCTTAACTTGATCGGTCTAAGTACTTGTAAACATTCAATTCTATCACATCATTGTTCAATTCTGCTGTTCAATAAGCCACTATAATTGAGTAGTGGCAGAGTTCCTACAATTCCAGAATTCTGTTCCTATACAGCAGAATTGAACAATGATGTCTACGTGCTTCTAAACATTCAATTCTATTACGATCCAAGTACAATTCTATTTTAGAGATGTGCACGGGTACCATTTTCGTACCCGTACCCGACCCGACCCGACAACTTTGTACCCGTACCCGACCCGTAATCGACTTATACCTAAAAGATTTCTCCTTTTTGTTTTCCAGCTAAAAACTTTTGTTTTTCGGCTGAACATGTCAAATTATCATTACGTTCTCAAGTAATTCTTTTT